GTGCTCTGTCTTGTTCCTGTTCTCAGAGGGATGGCTTTCAGTTTTTCACCACTAAGTATGATGTTGGCTGTGAGTTTGTCATGTATGGCCTTTATTATATTGAGGTACTTTCCTTCTGTACTTATTTTGTTGAGAGTTTTAATGATAAATGGATGTTGGATCTTGTCAGATGCTTTCTCTGCATCTATTGAAATGATTGTGTGATTTTTATTCCTCATTTTGTCAGTGTGGTGTGTCACATCGATTGATTTGTGGATGCTGAACCATCCCTTTGTCCCTGCTATAAATCCCACTTGGTCATGGTGTATGATCCTTTTAATGTGTTGCTGTGTTTGGTTTGCCAATATATTGTTGAGGTCTTTTGCATCTATGTTCGTCAGTGATATTGGCCTGTAATTTTCCTTCTTTGTGTTGTCATTGTCTGGTCTTGGTATCAGGGTAATGTTGCCCTCGTAGAATGAGCTAGGATGCATTCTGTCTTCTTCAATTTTTTGGGATAGTTTGAGAATAGGTATTAAATCTTCTTTGAATGTTTGGTAGAATTCTCCAGAGAAGCCATCTGGTTCTGGACTTTTGTTTTTTGGAAGGTTTTTGATTGCCGTTTCTGTCTCATTACTTGTGATTGGTCTGTTCAAATTCTCTATTTCTTGCTGATTGATTCAGTTTGGGGAAGTTGTATGAGTCTAAGAATTTGTTCATTTCTTCTAGATTATCCCATTTGTGGGCATATAGTTTTTCATAGTATTCTCTTATAATCCTTTTATTTTTGTGGTATCCATTGTAATTTCTCCTTTTTCATTTTTAATTTTATTTAGTTGCACCTTGTCTCTTTTTTCCTTAGTGAGTCTGGCTAACGGTTTGTCACTTTTGTTTATCTTCTTGAAGAATCAGCTCTTAGTTTCATTGATCCTTTTGTTGTTTTTTTTTCTTTATTACATGTGTTTCTGCTCTAATTTTTATTATTTCCTTCCTCTGACTTTGGTCTTTGTTCTTCATTTTCTAGTTCTGTTAGCTGTAGTTTGAGATTACTTATTTGAGATTTTTTTGTTTGTTGAGGTGGGCCTGTATTGCTGTAAATTTCCCTCTTAGTACTGCTTTTACTTCATCCCATAAGAGTTGATGTGTTGTGTTTTCATTTTCCTTTGTCTCCAGGTATTTTTTGATTCCTCCTTTGATTTCCTCATTGATCACTGGTTGTTCAATAGCATGTTGTTTAATCTCCACATATTTGTGCCTTTCTGTGGGATCCTTTGTCAGTCTCGCCAGAAGTTTATCAATTGTATTGATATTTTCAAGGATCCAGCTTTTGGGTTTTCTTATTTATTTTCATTGATTCCTGTTCTTATATTATTTACCTGTTTCTGCTTGCTTTGGTTTTAATTTGCTGTTCTTTTCTAGTTTCCTGAAAGACCTTTCTTCTTTTCTAATATATGCATTTAATGCTGAAAGTTTCCCTTTAAGCACTCCTTTATGGAGCATTCCACAAATCTTCATTCAAGTATTTTATTTCTCTTATGACCTCCTCTTTGATTCATGGGTTATTTAGAAACTTGTTGTTATCGACATTTTTGGGATTTTCACATATCTTCCAGTTGATTAATTTAATTAATATAATAATTTTTAATTTCTTTGTGGTCAGACATACCTTTTGTGATTTCACTTCAGTTAAATTTGTTGTCCAAAATATGTTCTGTCTGGTTGAATGCTCCATACTTGAATGTGTATTCTGCTGTTCGAACTTTAGGTTTCCCTCTGATGTTATTTCCTTTCAGCTTAAAAACCTTAACATTAACATTTCTGTTAGAGAAGACCTGCTGACAATAAATTTGACATACAACAAATTGTATGTCGTCTAATTTTGAATTATATATTGAACATTTTGAATATTGTCTTGTGTAGACTCTTATAATCCTCTGGAGAATGTTAATTTCTTTTTTTTTTAAATAGACAGCCAGGTTAGTTTCAGACCACAAGTTGTGTTTCACTTTCCCCATACAGATCTCTTCTCCAAGTTTTGATTCCCTCTGCTGTTTGCTTGCTTTTGTTTAATTTTCAGAGTTCTCAGGTAGTTGTTTTTGTATTTTGTTCAGAGATTTTAGTTGTAATCAGTGGAAGAGAGAGGCTGTAATGGGCTGACTTTATGCTCACCACAATTACAAGTCTCTGTCTTGTGTATTTTTATTCTACAATTTAGATACAATTATTGCTTTATACCCATCACTGTTTAGATTTATCCATGTATTTACAAAAAAAATTTTAATGCTCTAATCCTTTTTGCATCTTAAGCCGTTCTTCCAGGATCATTTTTCTGCTTTTTGAGAGACATCCTTTAGAAGTTCTTTTACTGGTGATCTATTGGGCATAAACTCTGTTTTTATTTGTCTATTTTATGTCTTTATTTTGCTTTTATTCATGAAAGATGGTTATTTTAACCGTTGGAATTGACAGTTATTTTTATGTCAGAACTTTAAAGATAACATTCATTGTTTTCTGACTTCCCGTGTTTGTGCTGAGAAAGTCCTTTTCATTTTCGTTGTTGTTTCCTCATAGGTAATACATCTCTGTTCTCTGTTCTCTGGAAACTTTAAGATCTTTCTATTTGTCCTTCTATGATTCATTGGTCTTCTTGACTCTTAGGAGTGGTATTTTCTATATTCTCACCCATTAGCTGAGCTCATGAAATATTTTCGTGAAATAGCTCATGCAGTATTTCCTTTCCACTGTTTCCTCCTGGAACTCTGATTAGATGTTGGTTGAACTTCTCACTCTGTCCTTCATATCTCTTTGCCTCTCTTTTGTATTATTACTCTTTTTGTCTTTCCACATTGCATTCTTAGTATTGAGAGACAAAGGGACAAGCAGATCCGATTCAAGACAGGAAATTAAAGTAAAAGCCACAGCCAGCGCAGTGGTGCAGCAGTTAAGTGCTCATGTTCCACTTCAGCGGCCTGGGGTTTGCCAGTTCGGATCCTGGGTGCAGACACTGCACCACTTGGCAAGCCATACTGTGGTAGATGTCCCACATATAAAGTAGAGGAAGGTGGGCACTGATGTTACCTCAGGGTCAGTCTTCCTCAGCAAAAACAGGAGAATTGGCGGAAGATGTTAGCTCAGGGCTAATCTTCCTCAAAAAATAAAATAAAATAAAGTAAAAGCCAGTCTTAAAGTCTTGATCACTAGTTAGAGAGGACTGAAGTATGTTTTGCTAAGCTCTATTGCCTGGCCCACTAATTCTTTCATCTTTCTCTTTGCTATAATGGGCATATTTTCCAGATGACATTGTCTGGAACATCATTACCAAACCCTGGATCTGTCTGAGCTAGCATGGGCATTCAGGAGGTCCAGTTTGTTAGGTGAGATGTTATAGTGAGGTTGTCTGGGCAGAAACAGTATAATATATGTAGTGTTTAAGATGCTTGAGTTCTATAGTTAGCCACATTTTGATTCAAATCTCTGCTCTAACATTTATTTGATGTATGATCTTTGACATGGCTCCTAATCTTGCTACACTAAGTCTCTCAGCATTGACTCTTGCTATGATAATTATTCCTCCAAAGTCAGTTTTAGCATTGTACTTCTAGGTAGATTTTTCAGATGTGGAAGTAATAGTATAATGTTACACTTTAGAAAATAAGCTTAGGTAAGACTGCAAGATTTCAAACCCCAGCTTCCACCATTTATTTGCTTTGGGGTCAAATTACTTAATATCTCTTCTTCATTTCCTTATTTATTACATTGGGGTAATAACAGTACCTAGATTGTAAGATTAAATGAAAATAATACAAGGTTTAATAATGATTGCTGCTGCTTTTATTGTTTTGTACTACTTATCATCAGTATTATTTCATTGAAGCAGGACTTCATTCAACAGCTAGAGGACATAACATCAGGGAAGAAGGAGGCTAGCAGGACCCAGGTGGCAGTCAGGACCCAAGATAGGCAAATCAGTTTCCAGAAATGACATTAAGGCGATAGTCCAATTATACAGCCTGGACCAACAGGGAAAACAGAGAAAGTTGAAGGTCAATGGGCACAAAAGTTTTGAATCCCAGGCATGCTTTCTTAGTTTATGCCAAAGCTTCCCCCATTGCAAATTATCTTTGGAGATGAGACTTGGAATAAAGTTATTGATGCAGTTGGTTCTCAAAGACTTGCACTTGTCAGAGCCAAGGCTGCTGGTGAGAATTTCTAAGTACTGGGTGGGACTGAAATAAGCATATTCAGGATCATAGTTGTAGTGGAAAGTCACATTGGATTAGATTGAATTGTATAATCTTACTTACCAATCACACAAACCTAGTGTTCCATTTCTGAGAATTTACTATAAGGAAATCAGAAAGGATGCACAATGATAGACTTACAAAGATTTCATCACAGTGGTGTTTAACATAGTGTTAGTAGAATGGAATGAATTTAAATGTCAAACACAGAGAATTAATTAAAAAAATCTGTAATACATCTATATAAGGTGAAACTTTAAACCCATTGAAAATTACAGAGAAATGTATTTCTTGACTTGTAAAGATATTTACTATAGTTAAGCTATTAAAACGTATTACAGTATTCGAATATGACTACTTTTTTATGAGAAAAATGCATATCTGTATCTATTCATATCCACATCTGTGTATAAAGAAGAAGAGGAAGAAGATTTGGACTGTATTTACTAAAGTGTTATTAGTGATTTTTCTTGGAAAAGAGAAATATAAGGGCTGTTATGTCCTTCTTTCTAATTTATGTACTGAAGATTAATTGCTGTTGTAGTAAGAAAAGTTTTTTAGTTTTTTTTAATTTAAAGAGGCGAGCTGTAAAATACTTTGGCATTTGATTCACTATAAAAGAGAGAATCTTTATCTCTGTATCATTTTTGCATAGAATTTCTTAGTTTAAAACCATAAGGCCATACTTTTTTTCTAATTCATATAATTTTGAGTGGTAGCTTGCTTTTTTAATTCCTGCTGGTGTTTATAAATCTAATCCTTTTTTGTTTATTTCCATAGGTCATTGTGTCAATGAGCATAGCATTTGCCCAACAAACTGAACTAACTAGAATATCTGGGGAAAAGGAAGATACTACATCATCAAAACAAGCACAGGCTCTCTGTCAGCAAGAAGAAGAACGTTGTTTAAATGAAATGAAATTATCACAGGGTCAGCTTGGTTTTCAGACTTTCAAGGCAGCAGACATGAAATTTAAAGAAGAATTTAAACCACTTAGTAAAGAGTTAGGAGAAGATGGAAAGGAAGTTCTCTTATCAAATAATGATAATCTGGACGATATACTAGAATTGAAGGACCATGAACTGACTATTTCAGAAGAAATATTCTCCAAAGATAAAACATTTATAGCCAGAGAATCTGTAAGTATGCTTCCTTGAATAGAAAGACTTATAAAAAATTGTGACTTCCTTCATTATAAAAATATTAGCAGTAATGTTGCTTGATGAAGAAGGAAAGTGCAGTCCTCCCTCAGCATCTGCAGGGCATTGGTTCCAGGACCCCCTGTGGATACCAAAATCCACAGATGCTCAAGTTCCGTATATAAAATGATGTAGTATTTGCATATAATCTATTCACATCCTTCTGTATACTTTGTCATCTTCAGATTACTTATAATGCCTAATACAATATAAATGCTATGTAGATAGTTGTTACAGTATATTGGTTAGGGAATAATGACAAGAAAAAAAGTCTGTACATTTTCAGTAGAGACACAGTCATCACAGACTTTTCCATCTGCAGTTGTTGAATCTGTGGATGTGAAACCTGCAGATATGGAAGGCCAGCTGTATCAAATCTAGTCTTGACTTAAGTTTCATATTATGAATGTATTTTATTACTTGTAAAGGTATGTGAATAAATAATTTAATATTATTAAATAAAACAAGTCTGGTTCATAGTATTCTCGATTGTCTTATACACATTGTGCATGGTAAAATATCATTGTAAGTTATATTGACATTAATTTTATTTCAGTCAATTCAAGATTAATTATACTACAATTTGGCAATATGTATAAATAAAGGATTTGTTTAATTTAATATGATAACAACACAAGGAAATACCTAACTATTTAGGAAGACAATTTAAAGCATTCTACTCTGTATGCTAATTCTCTGTCTCTTTACTTATTCATTAATGGAGGATCTGTGTCTGTACCGCAACTCTTTGTGCTTTTAACAGAAAGTAATAAATCCTACTTCTTTTAAATTTATCTAAATGCAAATTTCTGATTAATGTTCAGGATAGGTTATGTCTTGTTTAGAGGCATGTTCAAAAAGTTGTCATCTCTTTATGAAGTGCAGAACTTGTGAGATATTCATGAAAACCTTTTTGATTTACCAACAACTGTTCAAGGCAGGATGATTCATTTGAGTAGTAGCTCTTCAGGAATTGAAGTCGTAGAAATCCATTAAGGAGTTGACTCCTTATCAATATGAGCTCTTATTTCCAAATAAAAATTATTGAAGATTGTCTCTTATCAAGCAGTTCTCTGTATTACCTTGATGACCACTGCATAATGTAGATAAAATAGGTAAAATTTATTGTTTTATGTTTGATTTTAAAATATAAGTATTCCATTTATATTATTTCCCCATCATAAATGTTAAGAGGAATAGTGGAGTTAGAGCTTCATTAAGAGTGGAAGAAATCTTGAGTATCTTTCTTTATTCTTCTCTCTTAGAATTAGATTACCTCTAAACCAACTGATAAAAAGCTATTTTTGCTTTTGGAGAATAACATATATAATGGTAATTAACTTCATGTTGATTTGGAATTATGATTACAACAAATATCTTTTAAATTACTTATGTTTTAGTTTAATAATGAGAATTAAAAATCAGATTCTTTAGGGGCTGGCCCAGTGGCATAGCAGTTCAGTTTGTGTGCTCCGCTTCGGCTTCCTGGGGCTCACTGGTTCAGATCTCGGGCGCAGACCTACACACCACTTATCAAGCCATGCTGTGATAGGTGTCCCACCTATAAAATAGAGGAAGATGGGCGCAGATGTTTTCTCAGAGCCAATCTTACTCAGCAAAAAGAGGAGGATTGGCGGTAGATGTTAGCTCAGGGCTAATTTCCTCAAAAAAAAAAAGAAAACTAAAAATTAGATGCTTTATGGGGTTAATAGTATAATTACTTTCATATTTGTTTAAAACACTGATGCTGACAGATTTCCACAAAATGTTTTATGGTTTTTTTTTTTTTTAACTGTTATAGATCCATGAGGAGATTTTGGTATCAAGCATGGATGCTTCTAGACAGCTAATGTTAAATGAAGAACAGTTGGAAGATATGAGGCAGGAACTTGTACGACAATACCAAGAACATCAACAGGCAACAGAACTGTTAAGGCAGGCACACATGCGCCAGATGGAGAGACAACGGGAAGACCAGGAACAACTACAAGAAGAGATTAAGAGACTGAATAAACAGTTAGCCCAGGTATGGGACCTAGAGTCCCTTTTCTCCCCAATTAAAATAGCAGTATTCTTTATACAGCCTTTTTTAAAAAGTCAAAATTATTGCCAAGGTCTGAATAAATACAAATATTTAACATCAGGAACAGACTCCACCAGCATGACAGCTTACATCTTGTTAGGGACACCTAACTCAACTTTGGAGTGCATTGTCACTTTGGAGTGCATTTTATTTATCTGCCTTTGCTGGCGCTGAAAAAGTGGCTATAAGATTGGTTTTGTTTTTTGTTTTTTTTAATCATTCCATTGACCACACATGGCAAAAGCACTTTGACAATTTTGGAAATTCTTTCTGCTGAGGTGCGGTTGATATTCATTTTTATCATATTCATTTATAGTTTTGTGAGTCCAACAATTAGCATCTCCAAGATTTACCTTTATCTGTCTTTAATCTATCTTTTTTAATCGTGAATGGAAATCTGAAGTAGTATGTTTCTGGAACTTTCTCCAGGGAAACATCTCTTCTTGATTTGAGAAATGCAAATTTATATAACGTTCTCATCCCTTTCTTGACTAAATTTACGTACTCCTTGGTATTTGGGAGCTGGATTCTTATCAATTGCTGTATATAATATACTCACAAAATCATTGTAGAAAAGCAAGAAATATTAATGTAAAAGTTCTTATAAAAACAAATTTATTCAATTTAATTTTGGAAACTTAAGCTAAAACTAGAGATAAGAAATAGAGAATTGTTGAAATATGTTCTTTCAAATATAGAATGCTAGGAAATACAGAAATATTAGGAATATAAAACATAGAAATTTAGAATAATAGGAAAAGAAAGCATATCATTTGGAAAAATTAATTTTGCTTTTCTTCATCGCATTTTGTGAATTTAAACTTCTGAATTTTCAATGCAAAATTGGCATACAAAAATAATATTAATTGAGCTGCACAGTTTCCTTAATTAGCTTTTTTTAAGTTTCAAATTTTGCATTGAACTTGATATATGCTTTTAACCCTTTATCGTGGAATATGAACCATAGATAGAACCAGGGCCTGCTGGTCCTAGGGGGTTAAAAGAAATCTGCTTAATATTTCTGCTTTTTTCTTCTATCGCAAACAATATTCTCTCATGACCTTTTTTTCTTATTTAGAGATCCTCAATAGATAATGAAAACCTGGTTTCAGAGAGAGAGAGGGTGCTTTTAGAGGAGCTGGAAGCGCTAAAGCAGCTGTCTCTAGCTGGAAGAGAGAAGCTGTGTTGTGAGCTGCGCAACAGCAGTACTCAAACACAGGTAGTATGGACTTTGGCCCACCTAGGAGCCGTGGATCAACAATGCAGTAGGATCTGTTTGTCTTTGTTCTTGGTGTGAAATGTATTTTTTATAGGTATTGAGCTTAACTTATTTGTAATTGCTTACATGTAAGGTAGGTGGAGTCAAGATGCCTTACATACCATTTAAGGTAATTTGAATCTGACATTGCTATAGTAGCAACTGCTGTTTCGCCAAGGAGCAACCTAACAAACTTTATTGTTGTACTGTAGCATGCCTTAGCTTAAACCCATTAAAAAGTTGTCTCTTTGTTCACTAGAGTGTTTTATCTTTTGTGATAATGCTAATCTCTTGATAAAATATAGTTAAATATTATTTCAAACAGTGTCTATTTTGCGAGCAGAGGTTTCTGTTTCATCTCATAACAATATAGAAGAATGACATGCTTTTTCCAAGATGACTGGTTTTCTTTCTGTCTTGTCCTCTCTACCTTTACACAAACTTAAACAGAATGGGAATGAAAACCAAGGGGAAGTTGAGGAGCAGACCTTTAAAGAAAAGGAATTAGACAGAAAACCTGAAGATGTGCCTCCTGATATTCTGTCTAATGAAAGGTATAGAGAATGTGTATTTTTTCAATACTAAGGGAATTGAAATAGTTTTTTCAATGTTATAAACATTATTTGTCCTTGTTTTCATCTTGTACATTTGTTTGTACATTGTACTCTGTATGTAAAGAATTACCAATTTTTCATCATTAAATAGACAAAACTTTAAAAATCTTTTGTATGTAAAGTAATTTTTTTACTGGATGTTCATCATATACCTAACTCAGTAAATGTTAAGGTATTATGTGGTTATTGAACCTTTCTCAATTAATTTTATTCTGCTCATGTGCCATTTTTTGTCCTAAAAAACACAGTCATACTTGTGAGTTTATTCTTTTACTGCGTGGACATGCAGTCAGTATAAGCTATGCCCTCGTTTGTTTATGATGAGAAAAAATATTGTGTGATAGTCTACATTTAGTTTCTTTCATTTTCTGCTAACCAGATGAGAACTTTTAATCCGTATCCCAGTTTTATAGAGGAATTAATTAATGATCCACTGTTAACAAAACTTTCCTTTAACTTTGATTGTGTAGAGGTTAATATAAAAATGTAAAATATTAAATAAGAATAGTTACCCCACATTAATATTAAAGACTGTAAGCAGAGTATTTTAAAATGTTTGTTCAAATGAAAATAATTTCTTTAGTTTTAAATTAAAACTAATATCTACTAACTTAATTTCCTCCTTTTCCAATCTCTGTGACTGTCCACCCTCTGTGTCCTCCTAACCTCCTTCCTCAGCTTGCATGGAGGAATTTGGCCCCTAAGATTTTGGCTTCCCCATTGGATCATCAGTATGGAGCACAGTCAGTATGGAACTCAAACAAGAAAGACAGTGTATGAAAATTAGAGTTACCATAGCAATATAAAATAAACATTTTGTTTATTTTATATTATTTACCTCTAATTGGTATATTCTTTAAATTATGCAGTGTTTAACTTTTTGGGAATTTTTGTAGTGAGTGCTGATAAAATGAGTATTCATATTTATTTATTTTTACCATCATATTAATTTTGATAATTGCTCTTACTTAGAAATAATTTCCAATTATCCTAGTCTAGGGTGTTTGGGACTGAACAAAACCTCAGAAAAAGTTAAAGAAAACTCTTGACTGACTTTCTACTAATTAAATTATTTACAGTTTTATTTTTACTATTTGTGATCTTGTAAGCAGAGAACTTGATCTAGGTACAAAAATAGAACTCTTTCACTTGGCAGATACTAAAGGGAAACTTTTCCATTTATTACCTTGTCTTAAAATAGTTATGTCATGTGCCTGTGAAAACAGATATCTTCTAACCTGATTGTTGATGATCTCCCGCCAAGTAAAGTTGAGAGAAAAAACTGTCTTGAGGCAGAGGTCCTTTACCATGAAAGTCTCTTATTTTGTCTCCATGTATTAAATAAAAAGTTTGCTGCTGTAGTACCTTTGTTGAATTAAGCTGAACTAAACAAAAAAGTTGTTTAGTTATTCAGATTAATCAGATAATCTTCTGAATCACCATTTATGGAAATATATTTCTTGACTTGGAAAGAGGTTTATGTTAAGCAAAAAAGAAAGCTTACAAAAACACTTTGTCCAGGATAATCACATTTTTGTTTCTACAATGTCTATATATTTATGAGAGACAGGGAAAAACGTCTAGAACGACAGGCATTGAAATAACAATGATTATCTCTGAGTGCTCAGATATTTTGGTAGGTGGATAGCAGTATTTTCTGATTTTTGGAGAATAAGAATGTATGACTTGTATTTTAAAAAAGAGAGACACACCATTAATTCCATTTGGTTGAAAATAGGTACCTTCTGCTGGCTGAAGTGGGATGTATGTAACTTGAGAAGTTTCTGTCTCTGGAATAGATAGAATGAAAAACGATCTCTGATATTTCCTCTGATGTTGGCAGACTGTAGAATTGTACAATAGACCTTTTTAAAAACAAGTCTGCCTGTTTTTGTAATTTAATCATCTAGATCATCACCATGAAGTTACAGAAATACTAACACATTTTTTCTATTGGAATTTGACACAAAAAAGATTAAATGCAAAACATATGAATAACCATAAATGGTTAATAACTTGCATATACATGGGTACCACCACACTTTTTAAAACTTCACTGTTGCATCTTCTTACAATTTTCTTCTAATCTGGAAGTTCTGCTAGCTTAAAACTTTAGTGATTTGATTTCTTTCAGGTCAATAAAATGCTGCACATTTTAAAAAATGTTATAGTTCACTGACTGACCAAAATTATCCCGAAGAAAACAACTTTTATATTATACTTATGAAATAAATCAAAAACAAAAATTACTTAATTTAGGTGCTATTGCATATTGTTTGAGTAGAGAGGATCATGTGATATTTTATTGTTCAAGCCAAGTATAGTGCGTTTTTTGTGGGACATAAGCAAAGTGTTTGCTTTAAAAATATTAAATTTTAACAAATGTTTCTTTATACAGGTATGCACTCCAGAAAGCTAATAACAGACTTCTAAAGATCCTCTTGGAAGTTGTAAAGACGACAGCAGCTGTTGAAGAAACAATTGGTCGCCATGTCCTTGGAATTCTAGATAGATCTAGTAAAGGCCAGTCATCTGCCAGCTTGATTTGGAGGTCGGAAGCAGAGACACCTCTAAAGTCTTGTGTCCATGAGGAACACACAGGAGGTACTAGTTTTATATGCTGTTGAAACCGTCATCATTACCTTCAATAAATTTTGCTGAGTTCAAGACACTTTGCTATGTGTTGAAAATACAGAAGAGAAAATATTAAAATATTTCCCCAAAAAAAGACCTCCAAACACAAATACATTAGAGTATTTGTCAAATACTCTCAAAACACCATTATTGTATAGCATCTGCAAGAGTGTGTCATAGAGTTGTCATTATGCGTACTCAGGGTGACTACTGTGCTACATAAGCTAGAGGCTGTTTAATTTCTCCACAAATAAAAGAAACATTCCACATCACCACTCAGGACTCTTAGCAATATCTATGAGGTGTGGGTGATATCCTGAAACCACCCTATAAATTAAAGAAAGGTTAGAAATAAAGAGCTTTTGAGAACCAAATATCTTACCTGTTGAGATGGTTAAAAGAAAGTGTATAAGAAACTCAAGGCTTAATCTTATCTTTGGACTTATCCTCTTCTGAGTCCTTTTTTCCTTTTGGAAAAGTGGTTTGAAGTAAGAGAGAATGTGTGTGGATCCAGAGGTTAGGTCCTGACAGGATGTAGCCATCTTCCTAACTCTGCCTTCTTCCAGCTATAGGGGCTGGGCTCTTTGAATTTCTTACTTTCACATTGCTGACCTCCAGTCTCTCCTGTTTTTTCAACTCCTTGCTGGAGAAGGAATCAGAAAATCAAAAGGGGGGAAAGTCTTTGTCAGATGGAGAAAGATAGGGTCTGGACTCTTGGATCAGAAGATCAAGCCTGTACTTCACTACCATTCCACACCCAAGCACTTCTCCTCAGTTAGAGGCCAATGTTCTAAAAATGCCTGTTTATGCAATTTTGGGGAGCATTCTGTTTGTTTCATGTGGAGAATGAGAAGAAATTATCCCACTTACAGAAGGTTTACTAATTACAGGTTGGCTGCTAGCATGTTTCTGAGTGCAGAGGAAAGCACTGATTTGAAATTTTAAGTAAAATTTATTTTAAAACTCCTCAGTCGAGTTCAAAGATAATTTTAAAAACTGCTTTTACTAAAATAAGAGCTGAAATAATACTGTATTTTTAAACTTCCTTTCAAATTCATTCTTTTCAAACTTAGTAGAAGTATTTTTCAAATTAATTTCGCTCTTGGTTAAGCTCTTAAGAGTGATTTTATTTCAGTATGTGAATCTTGATGTGTAGAAAAGAATTAGGTAATGTTTTCTTGGTCTTGTAAAAGTATTTATCAAATGATGCTTTTTTAAAAACAATTATTTCATAAATTATTTCCCTGGTTTCAGGGAGGGATTGTGCTGTTGTACTGTTAAGACCTAAACCATATTCAAAAGACACTCGGAGCCATGTTCTGTAGATTACAAAAATATTTTGTGCTCTTTTTGTTAGCAGTTCTCTTAGACATTTCTCAAAGTGTTTGCTAAAGTGTTCAGCAAACAACATATCTTAAAAGACAGCAAACTTGCTTCTAAAGCAGGGTTCCTGTAGTTATAAAAAGGAATAAATTGGTAATTTAACTCAAGCACTCAGGATTATATTTATCTTCCTTTTCTATGAGAAAGCAGACTTAAAAGGACATCTGATCTACTAGCCTGCTTTCTTGCAAGGTTATGTCTACATCTAATCTCAGTATGGATTAAATATGTCTATGTTGTCGACTTCTTTTCCTTTTTTTTTTTTTGAGGAAGATTAGCCCTGAGCTAACATCTGCCGCCAATCCTCCTCTTTTTGCTGAGTAAGGCTGGCCCTGAGCTAACATCTTCCTCTGCTTTACATGTGGGACGCCTACCAAAGCATGGCTTGACAAGTGGTGCCATGTCTGTACCTGGGATCCGAACCAGCGAACCCTGGGCCACCGAAGCAGAACATGCGCACTAAACCTCTGTGCCATCGGGCCAGCCCTGTCTATGTCTTCTTTTAAGATATCCGATAATGAGTAGTTTTTCAGTTATAAGCAATTTTGTCAGTTCAATTCTACAAACATTTATTGAGCAATTTCTCTATGCTCTTTGCTAATTTATAGCTATTCAGTCTAATGAAAGAGGCACTGAGAATCCTATTCAAGGCAAGATAAAGTCATAGTATTTAATATTTTACTTGAACCCACTTTATATGTATTTGAATCAGTTAGGCCTTTTAAAAATTTAACTATTCAACTGTTAGCTGATTCTGAAAGAATATTAAGATACAAGAAGAAAAATCCACAGTTAAGAAATATAGTGTACAGAATATTATAGCAGAGATAAGAATTTTGCTGGTATTAGCATCATTGGTTATAATGTGCACTTTTCCATTTGATTGCTCAGTCTACGTTTTTGTGTTTGGCAATGATATGCTGGTCTTACCAGTATCATTTGGGGACACTTATCAGATCCATTTTGCATGTTGAAGAAAATGTTGAATTAATAGAATTTATAATTTAAAACTTTGAATTTTCTCATAAACTTTGAAGAAAATACTTTAAAATGTTCATGCTCTTTAATCTGATTTGAAGCAACTTTTGCTTTTCAGTTTTTGTATATGACTTTTTGTTGTAGGTAGCACTTGTGATCTATTTTCAGCCCTCAAGCCTGAACTTGTTTAGATTTTAAACATGTATGGACTTGTTAACTCTAAAAAAAATAAATAATTGATTTGCTAATGTTTGCTTCCTCATAAGAGTAACCTAGTTTGCGAAATTGAAGAGAAATTTTGAGTCAATGTGAACTCACTTGAACTTGAGTCAATATTAGACTGGTTCATAAAAATGAGTTCCCCCAGGAGGTGTTGAAAGAAAATTTCCTTGAGGCATGTGCTGTGATGGTTTCGCAGTAGAATACTTACCTGTCTCTTAGGAGGCCAGAGGCTGAATCTCATTTGGTGCAGCTTCCTTTTGGAGCAGTGTGATGTTATAGGCAGAATGCTGGATTAGTAATGAGGAGGCCCTTGATTCTTGTTCCCGCTCACTGTGACCTTGGGCAGATGTCTCAGTCTCCCAGAGCTTCAGTTCAGTTTACGTATCTGTCAGGGACTAGAGTCTGTGGTTTCTAGTTGGAGCCGTAGAGATTTTCAGAAGGCCATTGGGGTAAGGGAATGCACTGCTGTATATCACCTGCTTTAACCTGAGAAACATTGCTGTCTATATGGAATGAACATGGAATAATCCAAAGCAAATGACCAAAGAACTTTGAATAAACATCATCTGCTGTGTTTAAGACATAGATCTGAGTGGTTTACCAATCTGAAATCATAATTCTGTTCACCAAACTGGCCATTCTGAAATTTCTATTGGCATGTTATGAAATTGCCCTGCCAACTTAGGTTTTTCTCTGGTACCCCCTAAAGACTAGTTATCCTAAATACAGTGTAAGCTTGATGTCTGTCTCATTCCTTTATTTCACTGAAATAAAAAAAGTTCTGTTTCTTTATTGGAACATATTCAAATTTGTTTTTGTTTGTCTGGTTATATCTTTAAAATGTTATCAACAAAATACATTAAGCTAGTTGACATCTTCTTTTCTAGATACTTTAATGTCTGTTTTTTTCATTAGCTATCTAAAAAAATTAATAGTGGCACTTTTCATAATTAATTTTTTATTGAGGTAGCAGTTTATAACATATATAAATTTCAGATGTACATCATTATATATTGCCTTTCTGGGTAGACTACATCATGGTCACCACCCAAAGTGTAGTTGACTTCTGTCACCGTACAAATGTGCCCTTTTACCTCTTGGCCCTCCCTCCTCCCCCCTTCCCCTCTGGTCACCACCAGTCTGTTCTCTGTGTGTGTTTGTTGTTGTGTTTTTGTATCTTCCACATATGAGTGAAATCATATGGTATTTGTCTTTCTCCATCTGACTTAATTTTGCTTTGCATAGTACCTTCAAGGTTCATCCGTGTTGTTGCAAATGGCAAGATTTCATCTTTTTTTTTATGACTAAGTAATATTCCATTGTTTATATATACCACATCTTTATCTGTTCATCTGTCAGTGGATACTTAGATTGTGTCCAAGTCGTGGCTATTGTAAATAATGCTACAGTGAACATAGGGGTGCAGAAATCTTTTTGAGTTAGTGTTTTCCTGTTCTTTGGATAAATACCCAGAAGTGGAATAGCTAGATCATATAGTAGTTCTATTTTTACTTTTTATTTTTTAAGATTTTGTTTTTTTCCTTTTTCTCCCCAAAGCCCCCTGGTACATAGTTGTATATTCTTAATTGTGGGTCCTTCTAGTTGTGGCATGTGGAATGCTGCCTCAGCGTGGCTTGATGAGCAGTGCCATGTACGCGCCCAGGATTTGAACAGACATAATACTGGGCCACCTACAGCAGAGTGCACGAACTTAACCACTCAGCCACGGGGCCAGCCCCCCTATTTTTATTTTTTGAGGAATCTCTATACTGTTTTCCATGGTGACTGCACCAGTTTACATTCCCACCAGCAGTGTGTGAGGGTTCCCTTTTCTCCACATCCTTTCCACCACTCGTTATTTCTTGTCATTTTAATAATAGCCATTCTGATGGGTGTGAGATGACATCTCATTGTGATTTTGATTTGTATTTCCCTAATAATTAGTGATATTGAACATCTATTCATGTGCTTCTTGGCCATCTGTATATCTTCTTTGGAAAAATGTTCAGATCCTCTACTCAGTTTTTGATGAGGTTGTTCATTTTCTTGTTGTTGAGTTGTATGAATTCTTTATATATTTTGGATATTAACCCCTTATCAGATGTATGATTTGCAAATATCTTCTCCAACTTGGTAGGTTGTCTTTTCATTTTGTTGATGGTTTCTTTTGCCATGCAGAAACTTTGTAATTTGATGTAGTCCCAATTGTTTATTTTTTCTTTTGTTTCCCTCACCTGAGGAGACATATTCAAAAAGATACTGCTAAGATGTCAGAGTGTCCTGCCAATGTTTTCTTCCAGAAGTTTTATGGTTTCAGGTCTTTTATTCAAGTCTTTAATCCATTTTGAGTTAATTTTTGTGTATAGTGTAAGATAGTGGTATAGTTT